TTGCTATTTTGCTATTTTTGCTATTTATGCTAGCTATTTTTGCTAGCTATTTCGACTATTAATAGCTGGACACTCTGTGCCGAAGTAAGGTAATTAATATATCATGGATGAATCAATTACATATCGATAAGTGATACGAGAAAGTTTATTATTAAGTTATGCATGAACAATCAAATAAAGTATGTAATCAATTTAAGAGACAATGATCGTATGATCAAAATATGATGTAACGATTAGCGTCAAATATGTATATAAGGATCGAAGCGAAAGAATAATAGGGAGAGTTAGTCAATTTGAATAATAAAATCCGTAAATAATAAAACAAACTTGGTACTTTCCTTAAGTGAATAATTGAAACACATTAATATCCGTAAAGTGCTTCCCCACCTGAGTTAGGTCATTTAGCTGACGAAAGTCACTAATTAACCCGCGACACTAGTCTAAAAAAGGTTGCCACTTTATTTTTAATGTTCGAAGCTTTTAAGATAAATCAATATAAATACAACAATCTTTTAACATTTAACCAAACCATAATGAATACTGTTTTTCCATTTTTCACTCATTTAAATTTAAAATCTTCTCAGTAAAGAAGACCTAAAACTGAAGGGTTTGTGTAGATGTTTTTCTATATTTGATGGATAGTAAAGAAATTTAAACTGCTAAAATCATTAAAAGGAAAAGCTGACGTAACTAAAGTTGAAACTTTAACTGTTGATTGTAAAGAAATTTTTTTCATTAGGTTTTTTAGGCAGTAACCGAACATTACGAAAAACAGAAAAAGCATGCTCAATTTATTTCTATCATTAATTGTGACATCACGATTATTATCTGATCAATTGATTTACACGTAGATGCTTGAGAACAGCCTAAGTTGATCCAAAAATCTGTAGAAACATATGAGTGCTGCCAAGGAAAAAACCTACAAGTTGTACTTTTTGTATATTTACTTTTAATAAAAATATCTTAAAATCAGGCAATCTAATACCTATAATTTTAATATCATTTGAATCATCTTAATGAGATGATTTAAATAATATTAAGAACAGTAGGTGTTAAAATGCCTGATTTTAAGATACTTTTATTAAAAGTTAATATTCAAAAAGTGCGACTTGTAGAATTTCCCTTTGGCGGCACTCATATGTTGCATGTAATGAAATTTTTACGTATAACAATTATGCAGAAATAACTAACTTTGGATCTCTCAAGCACCTCACTCAATGAATCAGAGGTAAATTTTTTAATTAGAGTTTAAGTTATGATATATGTCTTTAAATATGTTAAATATCCTATTAATTTAATTATAAGCTTAAAAGATGGTCTTTTATATGTGAAGATTCTATTCTTAAGCAAAGGCATAATGGATTATTTTTCAATTCGGGAGAGCTCATTGCCTTTTCCATGCTATTAGATTGGGCCCAACATTCATTTCCGCCGCAGTCGCTCGGGCTATTATTATCAAAGGTGGAATTCTTTCAAGATATTTTGTACAGAGCATTTTTATCCATTATGGCAATTAAGATCAAAAACTTATTGAATTAAATATTGAGGCCAAACAGGTATAGAATTAGGACTTTGTAACAAAAAATTACCCCATGGGGAATAATTTGCCAATTGAAATTTATACGTTTTTATTAACGGAAACTTCTAATCTATTCAATGCTGATTTTTACTTAAAAGGAAGTGATATTGAACTTTTTCATTTTCTTTCTGGAGGTCATCATACTATTGACTATGCACCAACTGTTTTAGAAAAAAACAATGAGGAGATCAAGGATTTAATTTTGCATAAAAAATTTGTACCATTTCCTTCAAGAAAATATGATGTGCAAATTAATTCGTCAGAAGAATATCCACAAAAGATGGACATGAAAATAACCGTCAACTTAACGTAATTGCAAGATCAATATTGATCCGTAAGGACCTAGTACTTCTATGGAAAGAAGTTGGTTACTTTGAGATCTGTGAGGATGTTAACGACCTTGTAATGCAAGGAGCGCTTTTAATGCTTTTTCCACTAGCACAACCTCCTGAACGGACTAGACCTGATGCTAAGGTTGTTAAGGCGCAACTTATTGAATTAATCGATTTAGGTTTTCAATTAAATTATAGTATTATCGATATATTTCACCTTTTTGAAAGTCGGTTAGATAATATTGGAAAGATTTTAATAGACTCATTTGCAGAAATTCACAAGATTGTTTCTTGCGTAGATATTTAGCTGAAACACTAAAACCTGCTAAATTAAAAAAGAATGAATTTCTTCTACAAATATTTACCTAATACTGTCGAAACCGAATTCAATGAAGCTTTTAACCTCTATTCGAAAAAGTTAAAAGTTCAAAATGTTTAGATTCTGATTATGTTATAGAATATCTATTAGTTTATTGGTTGTTTTTATTTGTTTTTCATCTAAAAATATATTAAAATCTAAGTATTTTAGTTTGTAGCTTTAAGCACTCTTTAGCATATATTTATTACGTTACGATATAGTTATTATATACAGTATATATTTTTATATTTATTATTTTGTATATTCATTTATTACAAAAATGGTATGCAACATTACCTTAGCATTATAATTAAGATTCTTAATGTTTTGGCTATGCTAAACGTAAAAGTTGCAGTAAAAACTTTGCTAATATTCAATGCAATTAATTTTTAAAATTATTTGATCTAAAGATTAATTTACATTCTAAAATATTACTATATTTAACTTTTGTCGTTCAAAATATTTTGGAATGGTTAGAATTATATTTGCATTATTCCTCAACCGAAGCTCATAAAGTGATAATATATTTTACTTTAGATACATATAAATTCTTCATTTTTAAATTATATAGAATTTTAAAAGTTACATTTGAATAGTTTTGCATCAATGCATCGAAGATATGAATATAAACAAATGTGTAATAAAATAGTCTTTAATTCTAACGTACTCCCCTAAAACTATACTTTCACATTCAAATTAAACCTTGTAAGTATCAAAGCTTTTCATATAAAATATCTGTGTGACAAATGTATTGAGTCAAGAGTCTAGAGATAACGAAAATCAAGAATTGTTAAATATTTGCAATATGATCAAAGGAATATTATTAAATTTGAGGTGAGATAATTAAGCAGCTAAGATAACTTTTTTGTTTATTTATTTAATGTACTAGACCTAAATTGTTAAATATTAATTTTCAGAATGTTTAAGAAAATCATAAGTGAGATAACCACTCAAATTAAAAGGTACAGTAGAAGGTAAGAGAGGTTGATTGCTTAGTAAAGTGGGTGGCACTCTAAAAGAATGATTGCTTACATAATTAGTTAAAGGTAACGATGTGGCAATATTATAATCGTGAAGTAATAATGGTGTGCCATTAATAGAATTAATATTTTGAAAATTAGTCATATCATCATAATTGGAATTTCCATGTCCTTGAAGAAAGAAATACGCCTCTGGAGTTAGATAATCGAATGTAGTATGACTATTTTGAACAGATATAAGATAAGTTAATAATGTGTCATCCTGCATAGTGCTTAATGATATTGGTTTGGATTATTTATTATTTTAATCTTTGTTTTTGGACCACGTTTTCTGCCGGAGTTAGCGAAAATACATTCAAGATTTCGTTTCATACAGTTTGCGTAGGAAGCCTTCCAGTGCATTTTTTGTGCATCTTTCGACAATTGATGCATGCATCGGTCACATAAGTGCGCGGTTTTTGAGAATACATTGGTTGATTTTGTAATCGAATACCAAAAATTGACGCGAACGTTTGAAATATCTATATAATTTTGACACACATGAAAAGTTCACTGAGTGTTTGTATAGTAGATAAAAATAATAAAGTATAAGATTTCGTCCTAATTGGAGGTCTTTAAATAGAAAAAAAAAACCATTCCAGCATTGAACGATTTGAAGGCTTTATATAAGATTTACAAAGTCCGATGCAATTACCGTAAAATCCCGAAAATAAGCACCACACCCTCTGCCCTATTTTTTTAAATCTCAGATTAACGGGAATAACTTGAGTAAAGACTATATTGCTATTTCCAGGTCTAATAAGTAGGGTAGAGGGTGTGGTGCTTATTTTCGGGATTTTACGGTACTATATGTTATTCGTCGCTATTTGACTCAAAACTTTTTTCTTTGAAGGTTGGATTGAATTATTGGATATATTTTTTTTTGACAAATATATATTCTAGTATTTAAGCGATTCATGAATAAAGAAGTGAAATTTATAAAAATAAGAGGAAAATACTTCAAAAAAAAAATCTTTAAGGTATCAAGAATAATAGCAAGTGGAAGAACAATAACCGCAACCAAGTGAATGTGTTATACAAAGCGCTTTCAAAATTAGTGATAAATTTGATTGACTTTCTAAACAAGTTTTTTTTGTTCAAACAATTTGTAAACACTAGATTATCGATTAAAACAAAAATCCACCATTTTAGAGAATTGTTTAAAGGCATTAAAATAAAATAAAATAATAATTTACATTTTTGTTACTTTAATGCTTTACGTAGTATAATTCATTTATTTAGCAACTAAACGACTAGATTTATTGTGTTAATACAAACATCAAGGTATATCGGATTTCTTACAATTAGCAAGAACCACAACCGACACAGAAGCCCTTGCAACCACGACAATCATTCATACACACGGGCCTCCAAGCTCTACAAGAGTTGAAATATGTTTTGCAAAGTTTTGCTTTTCCTTGTGCTTTTGCGCGTTCGACGCTACCCGCCAGTTCTCCCATACGATGTCTTGAACTATCACACTTGCCCTGGTCCTTGCATTTAGGTCGTCTTTTAAGTTTTATAGGAATTCGCGGCATCAAAATATTGCGGGAATCTTTCTTCTCAATATAGTACATCAATATCTTGTTTTCATCGTTTCTGGGATCTCCTTCCCATGTTAATACCTCTTGCTGGACATTATTGCATTTAAACGTGCATCTCTTCATCAAATTGAATGTATAGACGCTCACCTTCTCCCCAGGTTCAATCTGCATTGAAAGCGCGTTTAAGATCGTTCTAAAAACGCTAGAATCACTACTTCCTCTTTTATCAAAGCTTATCATTTCTAAATTTAAGAACTGACCAATGCTTTTATAGGGACTCATGGCGATTGTCTTGGAATCTATTTTCGATAGTGAACAGGGTTGACTGCTCTTGCATTCAAAGGACATAATGTGACTGAGAAAGTCAAGAGTCGGTTTGCAATTTACTTCCGTATCCTCATTTAAACAGCTTCCAGCTTTTTTGATAGCTTCGAAGACATAATGATTATTTAATAAAGACTTTGCTGTACTCATTACGATTTCATTTTCATTGTCCTTTTCGACTTCCTTCACTTCCTTTTCATATTTTTTCTCACATGGATAAATGTCCGCTTTGATAGTGTTACCAATAATTTCACAACTGGTTTCCCAAACGGCTCCTGGTTCATTGTCCTTTGCTTGCACAAAAAGAACAAAGCTCAAAAATAAAGTATCATATACAACCTCATCGTTGAGAAATAAGGTATGGAAAATTCAAGAGTGTTTGTATAAATTTGAGGTTAAATACTATCTATACATATATAGCGATACCAAGTCCAGCTCTAAGTCGTAAACACAGGATGGCTTTTCTTTAAGAATAATGAGTGTTAATTTTATTTAGAAGGAGTGATGCACACACACGAAAATGAAGCAAAAGCTCTACAAATTGGGCGGATAATAGTAATTTTGCTGCTTTATTTATTGGGGAGTCTCTAACCACAACAATATTAACTAATATTTTAACTCTTTAACTCTTATTGATAATTACGCAATTTCATAGTTTTATTTTTAATTAATTTGTATAAGTAACGGTGATTGTTTAAGTCAAAAGTTAAAAAAGAAGGCTAAATAGGATATGCGGGGCAACCTTAAAATGCAGCCATCGATCATACAGATGATGCAAGAAAGCATATAAAATTAGATAAACATAATTTAATTAACTGCTTGATCTGTAATTTTGATCTAATTGCTAATAATAACTTCATTGTCAAGACCAAGCATAGGAATATGACGGCCAGGAGGGATGTTAACGGTCAATCAATTTTAAGATCTAATAAGACGGTCTCGAACTTATTAAAAAAAAAACCGTTGGTTAATCAATCACGGGCCAGGTACTGAATTAACAATTATTATAAAATGCACCTATGGTGTTTTAGCACCATATATAATTGTTTTTGATAAAATTTAGGGTTAGGGTTTGGGTATTAAGAATTTTTTTTTTTATATAATATAATATAGAGCTAATAAAGATCTAATGATGGAGCGAATACTCTTTTTCATCGAGAAGCAGCCATATAAGGTCCCGATCTCAGTTTTCGTGAGGTTTTTCGGGTCCTGAGCATTTTTACTTAGAGTACCCGATCCGTTAACTTAGTACGTTTTTGAGAAATAAGGACCTATGGTGTAAAACACCATAGGTGTGTTTTAGTAAAATTCCTGAATTAAAGTCCTTCAAATAAATCTAATCTCAATCACACTGATACTTTAACGTTAAAAAAAAATCTAAAGTTTGTTACTGTGTATAATGTTTATTCGAAAAGAAAAACAAAATTTAAATTTAAATTTCAGTTACGGAAATCTATTGTAATCTCGCTTGGTAAAATTAAGTTCGATGAAAAAATACGTTCAACAAAATCGTCTTAGAATCTTCTCTGGTCAGATACAGTAGTTAGGTGTTACACGAAAAATTAAGATGTCCAAAAAAGATGTTTCTTCTTGGCCGTAAGGTTTATTTAAGGTCGGATGCAATGCAGATAATTACAATATCTGATTGTTTTTGCAATATATAAAGACTTTGCACCTTAGAATTCTGTATATTATCATCGTTAATATACAGAATTTCGACAAACGATTTTTGCGAGCCTCATGAATTCCCCTTACCATTATTGTTTTAACAATGGTAATATAATTCATAGGATTAAAATATTTGTTTGTCACACTATTTTGCAAAGAGCGGTAAAAAAAATCATTCTTAAAAATTAGAAGACATTTAATTATATCATGTTACTTGTAACAAGCTACTTAGTATAGCCGATAAAAATTAATAAATTTTGCTTGATAACACCCTATGTTACAATTAGACATCTCTTTTTTATTACGTTGCGAATAATTTTCGGAAAATGATTAATCTCACTAAGCTACGTTTTGATTGACGATGACCCATATAGTAAAATCGCTCAAGAAAACTTTTTATTAAAGCACTAAAGCGATTTTTAACAAAACAAACGTTAGTTTTGATCGCATATGGGCGGATTTTGGAAATTCAACTATGTCACCTAAAAAAATAGATCATATGTATAAATAAAGTCACGAGGATTTTATCGTTACTCATATTTATTTATTATTTAAACCATATTATATCTATTTATCTAATGAATACTATTACAAGTTATTGAAATCGTTACGCAAAATGTATCTAAAAATAAAATATTTTTACATTCAAACCTTCAATATAGTAATTAGTAAAAGTTTTGCTTGTTCTAGAAATTTAAAAAACAACTTCGAGATTTTTGAAACTAAGGTCTTGTTGAGCATAATAAACCGTTATAATAAATAAAAAAAAAACCAAAAAACAAAAGCTTTGTAGAAGTAAATAGCACTTAACTATTATTTTAATAAACAAACCTTGGGCGTAAAGTACATACTAGTAAAAGTCTTTCTATTTTAGGATCTTAAATAAACATTTTGGGATCTTTGAATCTAAGGTCTTATTAAGCATAAATACAAAATTTTAAACTATTATAATGTATAGTTACTTTATTGGCATTTTTAATATAGTATTAGTTTGGAATACTTAAAAAAGTATAATGAACAGTAAAAATTTTTCGAAAACATTAATTACAAAATTGAATTCATTTGAAGCAATCTTAACCTGAATATTTAAAATTCGATTACAGTTTATAGATTTAAAAAAAAAATTAAGTAAAACTAATTAATTAATTAATTAATTCGAGGGCTAATTCTAACTGCCAAATCATGAATAAAATTACCCGATGAGGTAACAATTTTCAATGGCTCATGTATATTCACCAACTCAACGTTATAATTTCTGTAAACTAATGCCATCAATAAAAGTAGGTTAACCATCGCCAGCTTCCTTCCAGGGCAGATTCGTGGACCTCCACCAAAAATTATCAATGAATATTTATTTTCTAATTTTATATCATCATCATAATTATAAAATCTATCTGGATCAAAAATTTTAGAGTTAGGCCAAAATTCAGGGTGACTATTTACCCCTATAACATTTAGGTAAAACTGTGTACCAGCAGCCCATTTGTATCCTGCAATTTCGTGTTCTTCAGTAATATAGCGAGTTGAAAAATTTGGTACTGGTATTATACGACTAGTTTCTTTGATTATGGCTTCACAGTATTTTAGCTTTAAGAGATCATCGCTTGTTAGATGAGATTTATTAGAAAAGACAGAGTCAATTTCCAAAATCATTTTTTGTTTTACATTTGGATGTTTACAAAGATAGTAGGTTATATAACAAAAACTGTTGGCGGTCTAAATATAGACAATCAATAAATAAGTAAATAATAAAAAGTAAAATTCTAAGTAATTATATAAGGAAAATACGTATTACTTACAGTATCTGTTCCACCTGCGAATGCATCTACTAAATTACCTCTGATCTCTTCATCATTCATAGGCTCAAAAGCTTCACCGCCTACTGTTTTTACATTAACAGTATCCTTTTCAGTGTTTGCAATAATTAAGGAAGTCAGCATATCGGTTCTCATTTCTATACCCACTGGCATTTCTTCAATCTCTTTTCTTCTCTTTTTGATTATGTGATCAAATTTTTCAAACAAATAGTCACGGTTTTTCAAGTAAGAATTTGCTATATTTCTGATTATTGGAACATAATGCCTCATGAATGGGCCAACAAACATGAAAAACACGAGAGCTTCAAGGTGTGTTATTAATGAATTGACGAATTTATTTCCATCTTCGATCAGTGCTTTAGGATGTTCAGATTTGACATTACTTTGCTCATTATAGTAGGAAGCAATTGAATATGTACGTTCACCGGTGGCTATTATCGAAATAATATCATTTGCAAATGCATGAAAACATTTAGAAAAATCAGTTTCTAGAGTCCAATTATCGTTATTATCATTATTTGAAGTATTTTGTTTTCCAAGGGACTGCCAATATCCTCTTAATTCTTCAAATAATTTATTTGTAGACTTTTCAGCATTTTCCATAAATTTAGGAGCTAATAATGCATGAGTAAAAAACTGTCTATTATATTTCCAACTCTTATAATTTTCATTGCACATGATCCCACTTCCGTAATATCCTAATTCTTCTAGACCTTGCGAATATGGAAGTCTCGTTACACATGTAGGAGACATAAGTTTTTCAATATATTCCGGCCGTGTAAAAATAACACATCTACTCCCGTTAAGCGTTATTTCACAGATCTCTCCATATTTTGATCGACATGTTTCATAAAACAGTTTTATATCATACATAAGGTTATGAAGATTTCCAATCAATGGTAAAGGCAACGGACCCGGGAGTGGATTGGGGCGAGTTAAGTATTTATAATAAAAGTTAAAAACATAAGTAGCAAAGATTAAGACGAGTAAGAGGAAATAATCTGTGGTATTAAGGGTTTCGATAATTTTTTGAATAGCCATCTTGAGTTATATACATTAAAGGACTGAAAAGACTTAATTATTGCCGCGACTGAAGTTGAAATTTGGACCCATCTTTATATGAAATTTTAAAAATTTTTGAGGGGTTTTTTCTAGGGTTAGGTTAGGACACTGACATTTATTACGTAATATTTTAGTTAAGCTATTTGCGCCGGTAACACAAACCAAAAAAGGAAACCAATTTTCTAAGTGCGTAAAATAGAAGTTTAGGATTAGACGTTAGGGTTGTAGCTTTAGCGATAAGCTGGAGTTTCTTATATGTAAAATTTCATTCCCGTTATTTTTTATTAGTCCACAAAGGTCAATTAACTAGTTTTTGAGTATTTTTGCTTTCTTTGCTTTTTTTCTTCTTTCGCACGTGTTCGGATTCGGATGCTATGTCGGGCTGATACGGAATACCCGAAATTTGTGTTCTTTTCTTTTAGAGGTTTGTATTACCGGACAAATAAATTGATGCGGGTTAAGCACGTACTATATCAAGATCTTACGTTACACAAAGAAACTAGTATAATCAGATTCTCTTTAAATTGGCCAATTATATTGGGGGAGCCCACTTAGTAAATGGATATTACATAATAAATGGATATTACATAATAAATGCCAGCG